TCAACATAATAAAAGCCATATGTGACAAACCCTTACTCAATATCATACACAGTGGTGAAAAGCTGAAAGCTTTTCTTCTGAAATCAGGAATGAAACAAGGATGCCCACTCCCACTACTCTTATTCAACATAGTTCTGGAAGTTGTAGTCAGAACAATCAGGCAAGAAAAAAATAAAAGTCCTCCAAATTGGGAATGAAAAATGTCACTTTTTTTTAGATGACATGATGCTGAATATAAAAAATGCTAAAGACTTCACCAAAAAACTATTGGAAACAATAAACAAATACAGTATAGTTGCAGGATACAAAATCAATGTACAAAAACCCACTGCTTTCCTATGTACTAACAATGAAACTTCAGAAAAAGAAATGAAAAACAAACAAAAAAAAGTTCCTTTACAACCAAAAGAATTAAATACCTAGGAATAAACCCAACAAAGGAAGTGAAGGACCTATATAATGGAAACTTTTCTATTAAAAGAGATAGAAAAAGACACCATGAAATGGAAAGATATTTCATATTCATGGATTGGAAGAAGCAACATAGTTAAAATGGCTATATTAGCCACAGCAATATACAGATTTAATGCAATCCCTATCAAAAATCTCAATTTCATTTTTGAAAGGAATAGAACAAAAAAAAGTCAGATTTGTAGGGAACCACAGAAGACCCCAAATAGCTAAAGCAATCCTGAGAACTGTTAATATAAAAACATTCAAACCTGTAAGAATTTTTGTGAGTTTATTTGAGCCAAACTGTCAACAATTGCCAGGAAGCAGAACCTCAACGGATTGAGATAATGCTCCAGAGAATGTTGTTGTTTTTTTCCATCTATTTTTATACATTGCAATCAAAGGAGGGGACTTAAGTGGGTTACATGAAATCTATTGGTGATAGATTAGAGAAGTGGGAGAAAGTAAAGCGGGGAAACCTCTGGGATTGGATAAAAAGTAAAATGATAGACACATACTTAGGTTGTTGCAGGATAGTTAACAGTCAACAGTTAACATGATAACAATAACAATGAAGGAATTTGTGGTATCTGTCTTGGCATCCAGGCACATTAGGTTGTGTCCCAAGGGGTCCAAAAAAAGGGAAGTTACAAGTTATCCAGACATTTCAAGGATATGTTATCATAGATGCAAAAAGACAATAGGCTCAGTTAAGGTAAAGGTTGACCTTGTCAGTGAAGATACCGGCCTAGGAGGTGACTACCCACCATAACTGCTTTTAGTTAAAGTTTAATTTCAGACCATCCTTTGTGGTTACTTTACGTCTCTGAGTTTGCAAGACTGCTATGAAGGCCTTCCCTGAGCTTGTCAGGTTAGCATGTGGCCCTTTTCGTCCATACATCCCCCTTTTGGTCATAAATCAATCCAAAGGATGCATTGATAACCAACCTTTTGGTTGGATAATGGAGTCTCACAGTGCTAGGAAGGCTCATTCCTAGGATGTCTCAATGTCAGCATGTCTTGCTGAACAGGGTGGACCACTGGAGATGGGGCAATGAGATAGCACCTCACACTGTTAGAATGGTTATTATTAACAAGATAGATGATAACAAGTGTTGGAGAGGTTGTGGAGAAAAAGGAACCCTCATTCACTGCTTGCAGAAATATAAAGTGGTATAGCCACTATGAAAAACAGTATAAGGGTCCCTCAAAAAATTAAGAACAGAGTTACTATATGACCCAGCAATCCTTCTGGTATCTACCAAAAAAAAACAACAAAAAACAAACAAACAAACAAACAAAAAACAAAACAAAACAAAAAGCACCTCAAAACATTTATTCTCAATGATATATAAACTCCTAAGTTCATTGAAGCATTAGTCACGATGGCCAAGACATGGAGACAACCAAAGTGTCCTTCCATAGAGGATTGGATAAAGAAGATGTGGTACATATATACTATAGAATACTACTCAGCCATAAGAAAAGATGAAATGCTGCCATTTGTGATGACATGGATGAACCTTGAGAATATTATGCTAAGCCAAATAAGTCAGTCAGAATAAGCTACAAACCATATGATTTCACTCATCTGTAGAATGTAAAACTGAAATTCATAGACACAGACAATAGTATGGTGGTTACTAGAGGCAAGAGGTTGAGGAGGGTAGTAAAGGGTAAAGAGGGCCAAATATATGGTGACAGAAGATGATTGGACTTTGGGTGGTGAACCCACAATGTAATAAAAAACCTCAACAGTATGAAGGTTCCTCAAAACATTAAAATAGAACTATCATAGGATTCAGAAATCCCACTTCTGGGTATTTACTTGAGGGGAAAAATGAATTTGAAATATATTTGCACTCCCACATTCAATTCAGCATTATTTACAGTAGTCAAGACATGAAAACAACCTAAGTATATAAAGAAATGTGATATATATTATTTAGCCATACAAAAAGAATGAAATCTTGCTATTTATGACAACATAGGTGGAACTTGAGGGCATTATGTTAAGTGAAATCAATCAAACAGACTGCTACTGTATCATCTCACTTTATGTGAAATATAAAAAATAAATAAAAATCTGAGTTCATAGATTCAGAGAACAGATTGATGATTACCAGAGGTGGGGGTGGGGTGTGTGTGTGTGTGGGGAGAGGTTGGTAAAATGAGTGAAAGCGATCAAAAGATATAAACTTTCAGTTATAAAATAAATAGGTTATGGGGATGTAAAGTACAGCATAGTGACTATAGTTAATAACACTGTATTGCATATTTGAAAGTTGCTAAGAGAGTAAATATTAAATAAGAAAAAAATTTGTAACTATGTGTGGTGGTGGGATTAACTAAACTATATTTACTGTGGTATTCATTTCATAATATATACAAATATCAAATCATTATGTTGTATACCTGAAACAAATATATATCAATTATATAGCAATAAAAATGTATATTCTCAAAAAATGCACATTGCCAGGAACTTAGGTTTATTCATCATGTATAAATTAGAAGATGCTAAGACTCCCCAACTTTCCAAGTATAGCAGTATCTATAGGGTTACCATTCTATTCAAGGGAGCATCAGAGTTTTTAATGTCTCTGAAAAGCTTTGTGGTACATCTGGCATAGCAAGGTATTTAGATATTAACCACCTCTGTCGTATGATAGCAATAATGATTATGAAATGAGGTGGAATGTATTTGCCAACTGAATCAATACAAATGTGAGGAGCCAGGAGCATCTGAACTCTACCAGGCCTAGGACATATCAGTTGCCTCCCTGTCACTAGTTCATTCTAGACTAGTATTCAGCCTTATCCCCAGGCCTGACCTCACCTATCGGAATACCCTGCAGTGACCAAGAAAACTCGCCTCAAATCAAGTTTAGCAGCAAACAACAATACAAACATCAAGATCACTCTGAGCTTGCATCCTCCCACCTTTCCCAGCTTGGTTGGTTATATGTGGAATTCCACAGCACCCCCACTAATGAGTTCGAACCTGCTCCTTATGTAATGGGGGAGACAGGCACTATGTTCATCACCATCATGTTGTGCTAGAGGACGGACCGGTCATTCAGCACCCTGGGAGGAGCTCGCTTAGGGCTGGCTGTCTAGATTTGAACCCAGACACTCAAAACATGTGCCATAATTATTAGCACCATCAAAAAAGGAAAATTTTGTCTCAGGAATTTATAAAACCAGGACTTGAAATGCCTTAAGGACTGTATTTTGTCTCTGTTTTTCTCTTTGGCCAGTTTTATTCTCTTCACTGGACACATTGAATGATAGACACTCCTCACTCAGGCTCCTGGATTAACTCAGGGTCAACTCTGTCTAATCACTATGGACAGGGCAAGAATTTGGGGAAGGTGGTAACTCTTACTCAAACCTGAAATAAGGGAGCTAAGAAGAAAGGGTACTCTTATATACAAATAAATGAGTTGTCAGTTACCTTCACCACCATCTTCTACAAAACACTTATAGAATTCACCCATTCCCTTATGGAACGCTTTCCTCATACATACATCCTCACATGTGTTTATACAACAAAATTGAATTACATGTCTATTACTGTAGGTGACAGGCACTGTGCTTCAAGGTGGAATTATAGAGATGAAAAAGGCACAACTAGCCAAGCTAAAACAAATCCATTTGTTAATAAAAAGAAATCTCAGATGCCCAAAGATTGATGCCTGGCATGCTCTCTCTGAAACAATGAAGAGAACAGCTGTTGCTCTACAAAGGCCACTTTGTCAGGGAGACGGTGACTTCTGATGGCCCTGTAGCAGCTGCCTTAGGTCACAGGGTGACATAATTCAGGGAATCCTTCTACAAATGATGACTGTCAAGTGTTGGTATAACCTCACCATGACTGAGTGCTCGGAATGTGAAGAAGAGCATTTATGAAACCATGGAGCCCAGCTCTATGACTTCCGAACAGCTGCAGAATCACATGGAGCCTGGGAGAGTCCATGTGAGAGGCCAGGCCAGGAAAGCCCATGTGAGGCCAACACTGGCCTTCCTTCCACATGCCTCCCCTCGTTCACTGTCAGGCTGCATTTTTTCTCCCAACTCAGCCTTCTCCTCACTATTCCTTTAGCAAACATTCCTTTCTTTTTCTAGAGAGACAGGAATGGAAATATCGATGAGAGAAACATCCATCAACTGCCTCCTGCATGCCCCCTACTGGGGATTTTGCCTAAAACCCAGGCATGTACCGAAACTGTTATGGGTTGACTCAGCGAGATAGACCACCGACTCAGAATTTAAATTTAGGAACCTTTATTAAGCTGGCCAGCTGTCTGCAGTTCAGCCTTTGCTTCGAACTGCAGCACCTGACTGCAAGAGTTATGGCTATTTATATGCAAAAACTACAAAGTTACAAAGCCATGCTTATGCAATTTGTTCCCGACACAGTATAGCATTATCACCTTCCTATCTATGTTTTCCGGGAACAGAGAGCACAGTATATTGAGGAGGGACCATGAGACCATATCTCAAGGCCTGACCTGATGTCAGTACCTTCCTATCTGTCTGTTCCAGGAACAGACAGCACAGCGTGCCCCGATATGCAGCCCAGTACATTCCCTACTGGTCTTATTCCCGAATCAAATCTTTGATTCAGCGCCCTCCTCTACGATATGAAATTTGAGGAGGCATTTGGCAATGCAGGGGCCAAATATGAGCCCTAGGAGGAGCAGAACGACTGGTCCTGCCAAGGAGGAGAGCAGGGTAGTTAGCCAGGGGGACCAGGAAGTTTTAGCTGGGGCTGGGTGCTGTGGCTGGCTCGGCCTCTCTGGCTTGTGTAGGGGATGCAAGGGGCCAATCGGGTTGAACCACCGGGGAAGAGTCCGGCGTTGAATGGTGAAGAGCTGGCCAGGGTCTCGGCCGCTTACATAGAGTCTTAGTCCCCAGGTCTTTCCCCCTTCCCATTGGTCAGTCCACCAGGCGAGAGGCATGAGGAGGACGGGGTTCCAATTTCCGATCGTGCAGTTCTTCTTCGGGGCCCATCCCTCGACGCTGTCGTTCGTTTTCTTAACCTGCGTACAGTGGATCCAGTGCCTCTTTCCTGCGACTTTGATGACGGTTGGAGTGCTCAGCACCACCTGGTAGGGTCCATCCCATCTAGGTTCCAGGCTGCCAGGGTCGTGACGCTTCACCCAAACGAGATCTCCTGGAGAGAAGGCAGGCTGTGTTGGACTGGATCTCAGCACGTCCTCCTCCCGTATGGCTTTCACCACCCGTCGTGCTGACGTGGCGCTGCTCTGCAAAGCCTGTAAGGACTTAAGCAAATTTTGGGTAGAGAGACGGGCGACTTCCTCCTCCCCCAACCTGGGCACCAATGGCAGCGGTTGCCCAAACATTATCTTAAAAAGGAGTTAGCCCTTGGATGCATGGGGTGCACCTAGCTCTGAAGAGAGCAAAAGGAAGGAGACTTACCCAGTTTTCGCCAGTCTCTAATTTTAATTTAGTTAATGTTTCCTTTAAGATTTAATTTATCCTTTCTATCTGTTCAGAACTTTGTGGTCTACAAACCCAATGCAATTTTCAAGTAACTTTTAGGGCCTTAACTATGGATTGTAATTTTGGCGATAAACGCCAGGCCATCGTCGGACCCATGTATAGTGGCAGGCTAAACCGGGGACAATTTCGGTGAGGAGTTTTCTAACTACTACCTGTGCTGTCTCTGCCTTGGTTGGGTATGCCTCAGGCCAGCCAGAGAAGGTATTAATGAAAACCAGCAAGTATTTATACCCTCCTTGTCCTCCTGGTATCTCGGTGAAGTCCACTTCCCAGTGTTCTCCGGGGTTCTGACCTCGGAATCGCTGTCCCAGCACGGCCACAACAGGGGGCCCTTGATTCACTCGGGCACACACTTGACACCTTTTAGCCAACTTTTGAGATATTTTCTGGAGCCCTGAGATGTAAAATTCTCTTCCCAGTAGTTCTGATAGCTTCATTCCCCCAGGTGGGTGCTCTGGTGGGTCTGGGAAGCGATGGTCCGCCCCAGGGCTTCTGGCATTATAGGCCTCCCATCTGGCAGAATTAGCCATCCAGCCTCTCCTTCCCGGGCCCTTAGTTTCTCAGCTAGCCTCTGCTCCTCTGGCAGATGAGTAGGCTTCTCTGGGTGCCTTCGTGCTGGCAGGGCTACGAGAACTTCTAGGGGCCCTACTGGTCTTTTAGTCAATTCCTTGGCCCCTATATGGCTGCCAGGTGGTTAAGTATCTCAGGAGCTTTTTCCTTTCCTCCTGAGGTCAGGAGACTTCTTTAAGGTGGCTCCCGTGTCCTCCTGTAAAGGCAGTGTGAGGAGATATATCCCTGTAGTTCCTGGGTAGGTCTGGCAGGGCCAGTGCCGGGGCGCTTACCAGGGCTTCTTGGATCTCCCCTGGATCCTCCTCATGTGCCCCCCGCTACCGGGTACCTCCCTCTATGAAGCTGCTCCCGTCATCCGTGTAGAGGGTCTCATCCGGATTCTGCAGGGCTGGTCCACAAGGTCCTCACGGAGGGAAGTGAGGGTAGTCAGTGTCTCCTTGCAGTCAGGCAAAGGGGCCTCTGTCTTCTCGTCAGGGAGGAGTGTGGCAGGGTTCAAGGCAGCTGTTTTCAGGAAGCTGAAATGTTTACTCTTTTTCCCTTTCCCTACCAGAGGGCCTGAGTGAGTGCTATGAGTTCCACAAGGAAGTCCACCTTTTGGCCCCCCACTGTCAGGGTTATTCTGGGCTCCTGGGGGCCAGCCGAGCCCCAACAACCCCAATCCACCTCCTCCACCAGCATGGGAGGGAGTCGGTTCCCCTGCACATTCAGGGCACTCCCTTTTCCAATGTCCTTCCTTTCTGCAAAGTGCACATTGATTTTTCCCAAGCCTGGGTCGGACTCCTTTTCTTCTGCGAGGCTTTTCTTTGCCCTTGTTGTCTCTCCGGCCCCTTGGGCCATTTTTCTCATTTAGGGCCAGGAGGACCTTGGCCATCCGGGTGTTTAAACCTGCCATCGGGTCCTCCAGATTGTCAAAAACCTTCTGGGCCACCTCAACCAACTTAGAGATTGATTTCCCCTCAAAGCCTTCTAACTTCTGTCATTTTTTTCTAATATTTGGGGCCGACTTGGAAACAAATGCAACATTGACAGCCCTCCGACTTTCCAGGGCATCAGGGTTAGGCCCCTGGACTGTCTCTGTCACCTTAGAGAGGTTTATGGGTCTCCAAGCAGCAGCTCGGATGCCCCCTAATAGAGTCTGGCGATACCGATCGAGAGCCTCCTTTCCCCTGTCACTATAGGGGTTCCAGTTGGGTTGCCTGGAGGGAAACACAGCCTCTAATCTGTCTTTTATTTGTTCTTTCAGAATGGACTAAAGGAGCTTTATTTCCCTACAGGGTCTTATATGTCACAGGACCTCACAGGGTCTGTAATTCCTGGAACAGAGGGCTAGTATTCACCATTTTATTAACCCCCTCTGTTCTAGACAGGCCTTTCCCAGTTTCCTACTGTTGAGGTTTTGTGCCACCCCTGACATGGGCATGGTCACATAGGCCTGTAAGACAGTATACAGGTTGCTAACTGTCAACTGTCTCTCAATAGAGACCAAAATTTAATGGGTATTCTTCTTTGCTCACCTGGGCAACTGCCCTCTCGGCAGCTAGACACCCTTTACTTTTTGGGTTCATTCCACATAGCCTTTTTCCAGGACAGTTTACATATAGGCCAGTTCTTCTTCCTAGCCACAAATACAGTTTGTCCAATTTTCTTGAAATGTATTCTGGCACAGGAGAAAGTTGTTTTGCTGTACATAGGTAGCTTAATCCCTATACAACTGGGCTTGGACCTCTGCCTAGCAAATTGCAGTCTATAAGTTCAATATGCAGCCTCCGGTCCTCCTAACCCAACGAGGTTTCGGCTAGTCTCTGAGTCAGACTTCTCCTCTCTTGGAGAATTTCAAAGTCCTGATGGCTCCCAGGTCCAGGGAGAGTGCCCTTTTCTTAACTCTATTTATAGTTACAGGGCCCTGCTTTCCTTGTCATCCCACCAGTCCCCTTCTCTCAGCCCAGGCCTGATTGATTCAGCACTGGAGGGGTTAAAAAGAATAAACCAGGGCAGAGAAAGACTGTGCTTAGTTACTTTTTGTGACCTTGAAGTTCATTGATAAGACCTGTTAGGTCTGCAGCCAGTAACTTAACTGCCAACACCCCCGCCCCCTTCTCTCATTCACTCCCTAATCTGGTCTGGAGCTGGGAATAGCGCCTCAGTCTGCCTTGCTTCCCCAGAGGGCTGCCTGTCTAGCCCCAGATCTAGAGGGCCGGCCTGCCGTAGTGGCAACATAGGAACTGCAGGACTGGCAGATGTCGCAAGGTCCTGCAGTTTCTCTCCCCCCCCCCTTTTCTCTCTCCCCATACTCTGTCCCTGTCTAGTATGGGACAGACTGAAGGGGTTGAAGGATGACAAAGCCCCTCCCTTTGGTGGGTGCGGAGGGAAGACAATTGGCATCCGGGGAGGCAGGGGCTCCGGGTCAAGAGCTGGTGGCGTGGCCTGGGCCTGAGGCCCGGGCTCACCCGAATCCGGCGCCAGGGGACAATAGGGGGCGGCCGGCTAATGGGTTCTTCCTGCTCTCCCTGAAGGACCGGGGGAGCCTTTCCCTTCTGAGGCCCGGCCAAAAGAATTGTCTGTCTCTGTCCCAATTTTCCCTTGGGAGGCAAGCCCTCATTTACCGGGGTTTCTTGGACAATATGTCAACCTAAATTTGAATATAAGGAATTTGATTAGGATGCCCTGGGCGGCCGTGTATGACGTAATGGACCCGGTAGGCAGTGGTCAGATCAAAGGACCCTGCATCCGGCCACCCCTCCTGGAAAGTGGGCCACTCTTATTCACAGAATCGCTGTAAATCAAAAGCATTAACATTATAACCTTTAAATCTATCCAAGAACTTCAGTTTAATACAGTAAATTACAACCTAGGTAAGAGCAGCTGATAGACAGAAATCTTTATTAACTAAGTGGGCTAATTCTCCTTAACAGTGAGCAAAAGACTCAGAAAAATGATTCTTGCAGCTCCCGAGAGACTGTTTGCAGACTGCTAAGGGGCCAGCCCAAACGTTCAGCCAAGCGTATCAACAGAAAGCAGAATAAATCAAAGTAGCTCTTACTTCACACAGACCAGTAATGATTTACACTTTTTTTTCCTCCTTCTCAGTAGTAAATTGGCTAGTCCCACACAAACTTTGTCCCGACCCCATGATGATTGGTGGCGAGAGACAGACAAGGGAGGGGGTGACCTGTTTTCACAGATCCTCACTCAGATGCCCGCCTGGCCGCGTCCCTTGGGAGCTTAGATTCGTCGTAGCTAAGGTGCACCCGTATAAACCCCGGGCCTGGTCACCTCCACATGGGGGTGAGTCACCGTTATGCCATATGACGAATCACGGAACCGCAGGTTGGGGCCCACTCGGACTCCGTAACCGAAGTCGTGGAGCCACATAAAGGAGAGGAGAGGGCAGGCCCCCTCCCTCCACACTCACACACTTTCACCAGACATTCACTCAGAGTTTAAACAATTCTCCCAATTCCTAACAATTTCCCAATTCCTGAGGGAGCTCTATAGCTTCCCGGGAGGTGATCAAGCTCCCCTTCCACTCACCCGGAGTGGGCCTGACTGATAAGGGGTCGACGAAGATAACTGACCCTATCCCATTTGATAAAGACAAAGACAACAAAGAACAAAGACAAAATAAATCAGCCAAATGCAACCTAAGGTTGCCCGGAACCTGCAGCTTGCTCCTTGAAGTCCTGAAAATGTTCAAAAAACACTGCAGCAGGGTGTACACAGAAGCAGACAACTTTTTGACAACAAATACCAAGACAAACAAATACCAGACAGACAAACCCAGTGCAGCCTACAGCCGCACGAACCAAGGACCCCGGCCACCGTCGTGGCCGCGGGTCAGGACCAGGAGTACCGCTGCGTCCAGCCCTCCGTATAGGTCCTTCCGTGGGACGTCCCAATTCCTGTTTAACGACCGGTCCTTACCTCTCTCGAGAGTCCAGGTGGTTCGGTTTCCGAATTGAAAGTTTTGGGTGGACTGGAGGCCTCCTTGGTAGTTGTTCTCCACAGGTGTGGGGTATCTCTCTGAGTGCCCGGCGACCAGTGGGGGAGAGCCTCCTGCCTTGAATAGGGGGTCCCTCTCCTCCCTGCCCGGGGAGAGCCTCCTGCCCTAAACAAGGGGTCCCTCTCCTCCCTGCCAGGGGGAGAGCCTCCGGCCTTGAATAGGGGGTCCCTCTCATCCCTGCTGGGGGAGAGCCTCCTGCCCTAAACAAGGGGTCCCTCTCCTCCCTGCCGGGAATCTCGCTGGGGCCTCCAAATGTTATGGGTTGACTCAGCGAGATAGACCACCGACTCAGAATTTAAATTTAGGAACCTTTATTAAGCTGGCCAGCTGTCTGCAGTTCAGCCTTTGCTTCGAACTGCAGCACCTGACTGCAAGAGTTATGGCTATTTATATGCAAAAACTACAAAGTTACAAAGCCATGCTTATGCAATTTGTTCCCGACACAGTATAGCATTATCACCTTCCTATCTATGTTTTCCGGGAACAGAGAGCACAGTATATTGAGGAGGGACCATGAGACCATATCTCAAGGCCTGACCTGATGTCAGTACCTTCCTATCTGTCTGTTCCAGGAACAGACAGCACAGCGTGCCCCGATATGCAGCCCAGTACAAAACCAGGAATAGAACTGGGGATCTCCTGGTACATAGATTGACACTCAACCACTGAGTCACACCGGCGGGGCTAGCAAACATTTCTTGAGGTGGTCTGCTATAGACTGAATGTTTGTGTCCCTCCTCTAAATTCATATGTTGAAGCCCTAATCTTCAATGCGAAGGAATTAAGACATTGGGCCTTTGAGAGGTGATTATTAGGTCATAAGGGTAGAACCCTCATATAGGATTAGTGCTCTTATAAGAAGAGATACAAAAAAAAAAAATGGTCTCTCTGCCATGTGAGCACACAGCAGAAAGGCTGCCTCTGCAAACCAGAAAGAGCATTTTCAACAGGAACTGACCAGGCTGTCACCCTGACCTCAAACTTCCAGCCTTCAGAATTGTGAGAAATAAACGTCTACTGTTTAAGCCACCCAGTCTCTGGTATTTGTTATAGGAGCCTGAACTAACTTAGACATGACCTCCTATTACCAAGGCTGCACTGTTCCTTGCATAGAAAGAGAAATAAGAATGCCCCACCCCTTTCCCAGAGGAGTGCAGGGCCTCATGAGAAAGAAGGCAATGAATGTGTATATACATAATTGGGTGCATCTACCAATTCCTGGGGGAAAAGGACAAAAGAAGAGACAATGACTCTGCCTGTGGGACTTGGGTGTCAATGACATATTGATATTCTTAAAAGGGGCTTTTGTGCACCCAAACTCTACTCAAAATTGATTTTTATTTTAAAAATTAATGTTTACTTTATTAAAGTTACAAATTATAAGATCTAAATTTTTTAGCGTTTAATTCAACTTACAAATTGTATTACTTTATAAAATGAATAGCATGATTAGCAAAAAAATTTTTTAAGAGATAAAGTTTTCTGGGCAGAAAGCATATTTTTTAGAAAGACATTTCTTTTTAAAAAATATATTTTTATTATTTATTTCAGATAGTAAGGAAGAGGGAGAGATAGAAACATCAACGATGAGAGAGAATCATTGGCTGCCTCCTGCACGCCCCCTACTGGGGATTGAGCTCGCATTCTGGGCATGTGTCCTTGACAGGAATCAAACCCAGGACCCTTCAGTCCGCAGGCTGACACTCTATCACTGAGCCAAACCAGCTAGGGCATGACTAGCAAATTTAAGCAATCTCTACTAAAGGAACTTTCACAACTTGAACTGACACAGATAGTTCACATTTACTTCTAAAAGTAAAATATTCCATTTTCCTTTTAGGTACTACAATTTAATAAACAAAATCTTTTTGAGTACTTAACTCTTACAAATCAAATATAAATGTATATCATTTTAAATGTATGTCATTTTAGTAAAACTTCAATGTAAAATAGTGAGTCAAAATGAGCTATTCAAAAATGTATTTTTAGTGGAATCACAAGGTTAATCTGTTGCTCCAATATGCCATTTTCTTTTAAACATTATAAGTAACTAAATTGATAAATATACATAATTTATTTCTCAGCACTAAATTATAAATCTCACAGGGATATGGGTTTTATCCCTTAAATATTTTTATATTTAATTCACAACCTTCTTAGAATTAAATTATGTTTACCCACTAAGAAGACAATTATGTCATCTCATCAATTTTGGAGATAACTTTTCAGCTTGCTGTGGGTGAATAACACAAAAGATATGAGCTGGGACCTGAGTTCAGAGTGTTTACACATCCAGACATATTTTTTCTTTAACCTTGACTGCCAGACTGGGCCATTTCAACATGGATTCTGCACCTTATAGAAAGTATGTTCATGTAGTCCACATTCTTGGCCCTAAGTTTGACTTATCCCCTTAGCTAATTCTTTAAATCCCTCATGCAGGTCTATAACTGCCAATCAGGATGCAGCATACCCTAATTCGATTTTGTATTTGACATCCTCATTGGTTAAGGTTACACCTTCTGTGGTCTGATTGGACAAACACCTAGCAGACCTCATGGAGAAGGTGGCACCTGGGTGGGGTTTAGTGAACCTCCTCCACCATTGTTCTGATGTCTTGTGCATTTTTGCTTTCTGCTCATTGTCTAGAGCTCAATGTTATGCTGGAGGCTGCTATGTACATCTCTTCCTAATCCTGCATTCAGTGACATCACTTTGGTAGTTTGAAATCAGCCACGGTGGGGGGATTTACACTGAGAAAACAGCCACTTGCTACAAACAGAACTTTCAGTTGTTGAACATTTACCAGTGTGCCATTGGTGATAACCCAAGCAATCCTGCAAACTTTCTGGTTAAGCTTTGTATTCCAGACTAGTCAGTTGACTTTTTTCTCCTTCCAATCAAGTTTGGTCTATGCCAAGTTGGAATGTTATAGAACTCTGTACTACTTTTTCTAGTGGAAAAGGCTAAACTAATATTAGATCAACAGTCATATTAACATACTACTGACAGGTAAGTTAAGAGAGAAGACTTCCTCCATGGGATGATGGAAACATAATTATGATTTTTTTAAGTGTCAATTTGTGAACTTTTTCTTGTTGTCTTGATATACAGCTTTTCATAATGATTTCTCTGGTGTCTTTTTGGTTTTATTACTGATCATAATCTTAAAACTCTATACTAATAAAAGGGTAATATGCTAATTAGACCAGGTCGACTGGACATCTTCCAGTCATCCTTCTGGACAAAGCCACGATGGCGGGGGCTGAGGCAGAGGCAGTTAGGGGTGATTAGTGATTTTCGAATTTAATTTCTAAGAGACTGTCCTTAATTTCTAAGATTGGATTCTCACGAGACTGCTGAAAGATAGGTAAAGCCCCTTTAATGTGAGCTGGATCAATGTTACTGGCAACCAAAAGAAATCTGATTTAATTTAAATTTGAATAGACATTATTTTATTGACTATTGTAAAATATTTCCCTAAGCTATTATATATGCTTTTTTGTTGTTGTTAATCCTCACCCAAGGATATTTTTTCCATTGATTTTTAGGAAGAGTGGAAGAGAAAGGAAGACACAGAGAAACATTGATATGAGAGAAACACATTGATTGGTTGCCTCCTGCACGAGCCCTGACCAGGACCCAGGCCGGGGAGGAGCCTGTAACCAAGGTACGTGCCCTTGACCGGAATTGAACCCAGGACACTTCAGTCTGCATGTCAATGCTCTATCCACTAACCAGCTAGGGCTACATATGCTTTAAGTACATAGTTTTTAGTGGTTAAATAATATTTCATCATTTGAATACAGTGTATAAGAAAATTAAATGACAACAAAGTTGATTATTGTTAACTAGAGGCCCTCAGCCCAGCCTGCACCCTCTCCAATCTGGGACCCCTTGGGGGATATCCGACTGTCTGTTTAGGCCAGGTCCCTAAACAGGCAGTTGGACATCCCTCTCACAACCCGGGACTGCTGGCTCCCAACCGCTCACCTGCCTGCCAGCCTGATTGCCCCCTAACCACTCCCCTGCCAGCCTGATCGATGCCTAACTGCTCCCCTGATGGCCCAGTTGCCACCAACTGCCCTCCCCTGCCAGCCTGGTTGCCCCCAACTGCCCTCTTCTGCAGGCCTGATTCCCCCCAATTGCCCTCCCCTGCCGGCCTGGTCACCCTCAACTGCCCTCCCCTGCTGGCCATCTTGTGGTGGCCATCTTGTGATGACATGGAGGCAGCCATCTTGTGTGAGGGCTTGACGGTCAATTTGCATATTACCTCTTTATTATATAGGATGCTTTTAAAATTATTCCCCACATATTAAGAGTCTAAGACTTGTAGTTGCCCAAATGATCAAGAAAGAATGCCAATATTCATTCAAGAATCCTTTTACTTACCAAAAGTGGCAACACACACACACACTTCGTAGAATTTAGTGTGAAGAAATCTAGCTTGCCTTCAAAAAATGTCTTAAGTACTATTTTCCCAACTGAATCCATTTCAAATGTTGTTATGAACACATAGTGGGTATTTTACAGCTTCTGCATGCCATTGTAACTCAGAATAAGGCAGCCATAGCCCCACCCTAGCCTGATCTTTATAGGATAAGAAAATCAGAAATAAAGGCCACTATGAAATCTATATAGGAGCAGGTTAGGCACACAGAAACAATACATGCACTTAAACCTACACTTATTTTCCAATAGAAAGATATAAAAATATGAAATGCCACAATTTTCCTTTATAAGAAAAGCAGACATGATATCAGCTTAACAGGGCACCAACACTTGGTAAAAACCCTAGGCAAGCTGTGAGGAATCTGGGCTCCATACTGTTTCAAAATACAGGGTGTCCCAGAAAATGTATACACACTTTAACAGCTGATAGCTCAATTTTGAAAATGAAATGTATTTTAATAAACACTGGCTTCATAATTATTCAAAGTGTGTGTATACATTTTTGGGGGGACACCCTATATATCAAATGCTGTTTTTTTGTGGGTTTGGAGATTGTTTAAAGGGAGAAAAATATCATCTTCCCTCACACAAATGTCATTCACATGATAACTTGAACATTCTCCTGTAGTTCTTTCCCAGCATAATTGGAGTTAGTTTTTCTAGTTGATTTTCTCCCAAACCATTAAACTTATGCCAGTCCTCCCACAAAATGACACTGATATTATTAAATACACACAAAAGAGAAAAGCCAGGGTGTAATTTAAGCAGCAGGGGCATCTCTGCATACAAAGTAGCCTTTCTTTGAACACTTAGCCTATCTTTGTTCAGCGAATGGGTGATGCTATAATGTAGCTAAACCAACTATGAAGTAAGGGACTTAAAGTATTAGTATTTATTTAGTATTATTTAGGAATGATCATGAGCCCACTTAACTCAAATGTTAGTTCTGAGAAAATGTGAGATGACATGTGTGAAAACATTTTATTAAATTTTAAGCAGTTTGTAAATAAAATGCTCTTCTTTTATTGGGAGGTCAAATAAACAAAAAGGTCTAATGACAGATTAGATTGGAACATCACCAACTTGGGTTCAAATCCTATCTACTTGATGCTGGACAAGTTTCTCACCAGTCTATGTTTTGCTTTCCTCATCTCTAATATGTTATTATTGATGTAATATGTATTTCATCAAGTTTAAATGTATTCTAACAAATAATTTTAACATTTAAAATATTGTTGACATTGGGAGATTTTACTAACACTCCAGATTTCTGAATTCTGTTGCCAACTGGAATATCTGGGAATACATGACCCATTTTCTTAAATAACAATGGTCAATAATTAGCCCAGACTAAGAAGTGGTTGCTCCTCTTTAAATGAGTTGTATTGGCTTCTGTTCACCACAGTGTCATCTAACCTGCTTTTCTCACTTACATTTACTCCTTGGAATGGGTCTTGAAAATAAAGGTGACATTTTAAGTGGAATAGCAGAAGCACCAATGGGTGTATTTCTGACTTAAGAGAGACCCTCATATAAGAGTATTGACACTGTCTAATAACACTAAAGGTTGCCAGGGTGATAACATTACAGCTCTTTTTAAGACTATTCATTCTGGTGTCCTGAATCTCCATTCCAGACCACAGATTAGATCAGTGTCTAACCAATGCTTTCTCTTTGTACAATTGGCACTCTCTTTCTTTTTCAGCAGAATCACAGAATGCCTGGAGTGAAAGGGACTTTCATGATAATCGGATTGAAGACTCACATGGTGCTTGAAACCTCTCTACAACATCTTTGCCAGAGATCCCCAGTGATCTTCAACCAACTTACATGTCTCATCACCTCCTGAGGCAGCTATTTTGACTCTTAAGTCTATTTTTTTAATTAGACTTGAGCCCTGGCCGACTTGCTCAGTGGTTAGCATCAGCCTGCGGACTGAAGGGTCAGGTTCAATTCTGGTCAAGGGCATGTACCTCCTTTGCAGGCTCAATCTGCAGCCCTGGCAGCTAATCAATGTGTCTCTCTCACATTGATGTTTCTCTTTCTGTGTCTCTCCCCTTCCCTTCCACTCTCTTTAAAAAAACAAACAAACAAACAAACAAAACTTGGACTTGAATCCAAAGCTCATCATGCCAAAATTGTTTAGCACTTTATAATTTGTAAAGAATGGTCACACATTCTCTTTTAATCTTCATATTATTGCTTCTTTACAAATAAGGAAATTGAGATTCAGAGAAGTGGCATGGATTAGCCAAGGTCATACAACTGGTAAGTAGTGGCAAGACATGGTTCTTCTTATTCAAATTTCAATATACTTTCCATATGTCTAAGGGGTAACCTATGAAATAAACCACATATGTCTAATTTTTTTTATATAACAGACCTTCATATTTTTTAATACAGACATTATATCTCCCATGAGTAGTTCTTTTAATCAAGATTTATCTGACAAGGTCACTACACTCTTCACCACTCTCATTTATCTTCTAAACATGATTGTGATGATTAATTTTATACGCCAACTTGGCTAGACTAAAGGATACCCAGGTATTTGGTTAAACATCATTTCTGGAATGTCTGTTCAGGATGTTTAGAGAAGAGATTAGTATTTGAATTGGTCTGGGTAAAGAAGATGGTCCTCATCAAAGTGTACAGACATCACCTATTCCCTGGAGGCCCTGAATGGTATTAAAAAAGCTGGAGGAAAGGCAAATTTGTTCTCTGTGGATATCCATTATCATCCTCTTGCCTTCATATATCAACACTCTTGGTTCTCAAGCCTTAGGTATCCCTTTGAAATTTGAAATGGTTCTCAAGCTTTCAGATTCAGAATGAATTAGACCACTGGTTTTCCTCATTCTCCTGCTTGCCAATTACATATCATGGAACTTTTTGACCTCCAAAATTCCGTAAGCAGATTCCTATAATATATATTTAAATATACATGTTTCAAATATAAATATCCTATTGGTTCTATTTCTCTGGAGAAATCAGACTACTACAATAATCAATAAGTTGTTTTTTTGTTTTGTTTTGTTGTTGTTGTTTTTTTGGTGCCGAAACCCGGGAATAATCAATAAGTTTTAAAGTTCAGATCTGAATACAATACTCCAGATGTGGTCAGACCAGTACAAAGGAAAGCAGAGCTATCTTCTTCATCCTCTGAATATTACATCTAGTAATTCAGCCTAAGCATACTTTAGTTTTTTGATTCCCATATCAATATATTAGCCAAATATAGGGTGATTATTGGTCCTGCTTTACCCAGGACAGTCTCCAGTTATTCTATCTTGGCAAAACTATTAATAATGATCCTTTTTACTCTCAAGCGCCCCAGTTGGGGTGATAAATTGTATG